AGTAAACAGTTCAAGCGAAAAGTAGGGAATAACTGAAAGTATGCAGATCAAGAACAAAGAGCCTGGTATAGTTGCATCCGGCGAGAGGGAGCGCCCCAGTAAAATCACTAACATAGGATACCCACACCGATTGTCCGGGCAGTCTTAGTAATCCTGGCATTATAACGAAGTGCGCACTTTCTGACAAAAGAGAGGAAATTTTACTTTTGGTTTTCCTTGGATGTCAAAAGCAACCCCTCACGACACAGAAATGGTAAACTTAGGAGGAAGCATAATTCTAGCTTCTTTTGAACACTATTATCGTTGTAGACCGAGCAACTGGTGAATCGTGAATTGCGATTTTTGAATGCCAAACGCGATGAGTTGTCGAAAATGAAGCGTCTGTTGCATAGTTCAAGCCGTGACCTTGAGAAAGTCGAACAGCTCATCGACAATGACCAAGTGTCCAACATCAAGGTTTCTATTTATCATTTCCTTGCTGTGAACACAACGCTTGCCATTCATTCATAACCGTTTATCTCAACAAATGACCCCGTTTTCATCAGGGGGGATGTCCGCCTGATCGTCTCATCGTCAAATAATATTATCATAATAAAACTGTTCGTAATAGAATACTCGTTTTTTATCCAAAATAGATTAATGGTCTAATAGTTTGTTGTTATCACTAGCACTTGTGGCAGTAATAGTGACGATGGCAATAATGGTAAAAAGAATAAACAGCTAAAATAATGGTAATAATATTAACGTCAATAATAGTAGTGATAATAATAGCAATAATGATGATAATAATAACAAAAATTTTGATCAGCTGCAGTTCATACAGTGATTCTTTAAATGTGCAATTGGCATATGCAGATTCTCAAATTCAAAATCGGAAATTTAATTGTAATGATAATAAACAAGTGTTTTGGTACCTGCGATTTGCGAGGAACTTGACCTACTTCACTATAAGTAGTTCACATAATATCTCCCTGCTTGTGAAAGCAAAGGGGTGGGGGGAGGAAACTTTGTTTCCATATAACAATGCGGAAATGACATCACAAGCCTTTACATTACTCGGAAACGAGGTTTCGGAAAATGTGATGTTGAAAACCTGAAAATTTTCTCCACCAACTCTTTCTTCCTTCTTACTTTAATGCTACTTACAACTGGTACTGTGAATCTTTTGCTTGAGAAGCAGACGAGTGACAAAGCTGAATTTCACACTCATCGAAGACATACATATTGGCAATCCAAACGAAACCAACAAATTTTTTTAAGTTTTTACAGGTTTTTTAAGGGAAAATTTGCTTTTTTAGCTATCGGTAAAAAAGCGGAAATTGCTGGAGCAAGTGATCAAACAAGAACATACATATATTGAAGAAACAATAGCCACCGAACGACAGCGGCGCGTCACGGATGGCGTACTCCGGAAGGGTGTTCAGTATTTGGAAGTTGTTGAAAAACAACGGCTTGCGCATTGTCAAACAGCACTTGGAAGATTTCAACGCAAAATTGCTCAGCTTGGACCAAATCTGAACATGGTGGATTTGATTTTTGAACATCCTTTCTCTTTCTGTACTCATACTCATTCATATTAGTCATACGTGTTTAACACAGGGTGGGTGAGAGGGCGATTTACTGATAATTCTGGCTTGTGCTCACACGTGGAGCTTTGTCTGTGTTTACGGCTAAGGAATAAAAACAGACTGATTCCTGATACGCATATGTGAATTATGATGACTATGCCTTTCATCCCAATATCCACTTTTTTGATGTATTCAAGGAAAAAACAAGACAACTTTCCTAGCTTTGTATCGCATTAAATATCGTTAGCATAATGACCAAAAGGTGACCACCATATAGTCCTCATTTATTTACCGATTCAGAGGAAGTGCGGTAAATTCTTTCAGTCATTTAATTTTTCTTTTATTTCAAGGATTTTTAAACAATGAAATAGGTTATCGCTGAAGGCCATCATAGTTATTTGAGAAGATTACGCAGAACGATAAAACTGAAGTGACCATGATCAAAAAGAAAATTTTTGCTGAAAAGTGGCGCAATGCGCTTTGGAAGCATTTGATCACATTATTCGAGCAGGTCAATGAATTTATAGTTTCATTAAATTGCGGCGCACTGCTGCTTTCTTCTTTTGCAGATGTTTGAGCGATACATGAATGCATTGAATGATGCGGTGGGTGCTGATCCGGATGAGCAAATTTCAATGATTGTACCAACCTGTTCTGCCAATCATACTGTTTACCTGTGTGATTTTCATGTTCGTTTGCCTTCTTTTCCAATATGCATTTTTACGTTTTTTAAAAATTTTCCTGATACTTTTATACTATTGCGTACCGAATACAGCTATACCTGGCCGTTTATTTTGAGCTGCAGTTCTGAACAGAAAATGAGTTTCTACTACCGATCACATTTTCACAGTAACATACCTAGGGTAGAGACTGCAAAAAGTGGAGGATTCATGTTAGTGGTGTTACTGGAATGCTTTCGCATGCTAAGTTCAGCTATGATGGGTGTTTCGATCCTAAGTTGCATCCACATGAAAACAAGCAGGTTTCAGAAAGCAGTTTTTCACTGTCGGCCACATTCTCACAGTAACGCAATTGATAGAAGGGTGCACGAAGTACAATCATCGTGAGGATTTTAGGTGATTTTATTGAAGCGCTCCCACATGCCGGTCGCAGCTATGCCGATTTAATCACAAAACATATAATTTTCGAATCTTTATTGCTGTAGCGGGCACTTATAGTTAGACTATGAATGGAAATTCACTGAGCCAGACAAGTCTCTCGTTTTACTGAAAACCGGTGGACGACTGGTATCAGTAAGTACTGCCCATCAGAATGAGCAGGATCAAATGGCCATCGAAAATATAGTGCACTTACATTTACTGGATGCAAAAAACTCGTGATGATCTGCTAACTGCATTTGTGTCCTAGTAACATCTTGGATTTCGCATTAGCTAATGGAAATCCTAGAGAAAATTCCACTTTCAGGCTGAAAATTTTGGTGAGGTTATGGCCAGCCAGCGGCGACGATGGGCATTGGAACGGGTAAACGCAATAATTCAGGAACATTTGGAACGCAGCCAGCAAGAGCTGATGCCAATGTTGCCGTCAGCTAATGTTGCAAACTTCGTATGTTTCATTATTTTAAATTAGCATTCCCAAATATAGCTGGGTTATTGTAGTACTAACACAGATCTTAGCACTTGTAATATACTACATGGTTGTGTCACTTCCTCGTCTTTTCCGTCACAGATACTCGCTTGTACCAGGCCAGTATTTTAAATTCTGTTTTCATCTTAAAGTTTTGCTGATAAGTATGACGCATGAGAAGTAGACCTGTTGTCCTGATCCACAGCCGAGGTTCGATTTCATCAGTGAGGAAACTGTTTTCTCTATAATTCGTTCAGTCGTTCCGATTATAAATTGATAATGGTACAGCCAAAAGCTTGCTTTTATGCAACCTTCAAGAGAGGGTACCGTTGACGGCCGTGCCAGCGAGTGGTTACTGTAGTACTTGCAGCCACTGGGGCCACTTCCCGTCATCTTGGTTTCTCATAGAGAGTAAATACTGAGGTGTCTTGGTTTTTGATTTTAGATAAGCAAGCAATTTTGCAAACTACTGAGTATAAAAGCCTCTTTTCCTCAGATTATTCACTAGTAAATTAAGGCTTTGCAAAACAATTAATTTGTAATTTTCCTGATTTTTGTAAATTTTGTGTAACCTATTGTATAAACTATTTTACAGGGGTATACGGAGTTTTTGGAATATTTAATATACAAAATCGACGAGGCACTGAAAAGTATTGATGGAGCACAGAACAGGGCGTATCACCGATTACTTCGCTTTCAGCAGAAGTTGAAAGATAAAATGGTACGTTGACACAAAAATCTCAGGCAGTAGGCAGTAAGTAGAATTGGCTTTAGCAAGGACTAGTGCCGTTGTAGTTTGGTTAAACAAAATAGGGCGATGTGAACTTGAAACTGTCGAAGTGTGAATGTATTTGGGTGACACTGTCGAAGCTGCTCTCTCCCCCAGTTCAGGATGAGGTGCCTTCTCCAATTTGGCGTCGCGAGCAGTACAGGTTTGTCTACGTTTTTGCAACTAGACACAGTAAATATCAGAGTCAAAATCAATCTTCTCTCAGCCTCTCTGTGTAATTAACTTTCTGTTAGAGGCTGAGGTACTTGGAAATACTCTTGATAGCACGTGCCAACAGCAACCATCCACTGGCAAGGCAGTCGATAAAAATAAGGTGTGAAAGTAAAATATTTTAAAAAAAAGTAAAATTTGACGCGCGATTTCTAATAAAAG